TCGATCGCGCCCCGCCGTGCCCCGGGACCCCCCCGTGCCCCCGGCAGGAGCTCCCCGGGCCCGCCCGCAGCTGCCGCGGTGCCCCCGGGCCCGGGCCGAGGCGGCGGCGACGGGCGGCCGCAGCTGTCACCGCGCCCGGGGAGGCCGCGGAGCGCCCGGGCAGGGCGGGCGTGCCCGGGGCCGCTGGCCCGGGGCGAGGAGCGGGGGCTCGGGGCGAGGAGCTCCGCGGGCAGCGCTGTCAAAGCCCGGGGGTCCAACGGGTGTCAGATCCTCCGGGGTCCGACGGGTGACAGGCGGTCCCGGTTGAACGGGTGCGAAATGGTCGGTGGTTAAATGGGGACGAGTGGTCAGTGGTCAGACGGGCGTGAAATGGTCAGTGGTCGGACGGGTGGTAGGTGGTTGGTGGTGAAATGAATGTCAAATGGAGGAGAAGGGGTCAGTGGTTAAACGGGTGTGGAGTGGTCAGTGGTCGAATGAATGTCAAATGGTCGGTGGTCAAACGGGTGACAAGTGGTTGGTGGTCAGATGAATGTCAAATGGGGGACGAGTGGTCAGTGGTCAAACAGGTGTGGAATGGTCAGGGGTTAAACAGGTATGAAATGGTCAGTGGTCAAATGGGTGTGAAATGGTCGGTGATCAAACGAGTGACAAGTGGTTGGTGGTCAGATGAATGTCAAATGGGGGACGAGTGGTCAGTGGTCAAACAGGTGTGGAATGGTCAGTGGTTACATGGAATGGTCAGTGGTCAAACGGGTGACAAGTGGTCAGGGGTCACACGGTGCCAGGGGCTGTGCTCGGACTGCAGCTGTCAAATCCTCGAGGTCAGGCAGGTGTCAGACAGTGCCCGGTCAAACGGGAATGAAATGGTCAGTGGTCAAATGGGGGTTGGATGTTGGTGGTCAAAGGGGTGTGAACTGGTCAGTGGTCAAGGACTTGTCAGTGGTCAGTGGTCAAGCAGGTGACAGTGGTCAGTGGTCAGTGGTCAAACGGTGCCAGGGGCTGCGCTCAGATAGCGACTGTCAAATCCACTGGGGCCAAACAGATGTTGGATGGCCCCTGGTCGAACTCCTGGTGGGGAGTGGTCAGTGGCCAAGCAGGTGCCGCTGGTCAGTGGCCAAGCAGGTGTCACCCAGCCCCTGTTTGAACAGGTGACAAGCCCTCGCTGGTCACAGTGCTGGCCCAGCAGCTGTCACAGCCTCGGTGGTCACGCGGCTGCCGGGTGGTCAGTGGCCAGACAGGTGACGGACGGTCAGTGGCCAAACGCCCGCTTCCAAGGGCACAAACTGAGCTGGCAGTGCTGGAGAAGAGCAGGGCTGGGCTTCGAAGTGACCTCTGTGGTGGCCAGAGGCAGCTGAGTGGCCGAGCCGGGGTGTCTGACATGGTTCTGTGCCACCGGGCTTGGCGACAGCCAGAATAAAATAAACCAATAAAAGTCCCTTTGACAGTTTGCCAGACAGTAACTTTGAAAACGTATTAATCCTTTTGTAGCAAATCACTTCTCTTTGTACTCGCATCTGTCTCTGGCAAGGCAATTTTGCACAGTTAAATGCCTTGCCAGGAATAAAAAAAAAACAAAATAAAAACGGAGCAGGTTTGTGGGAAACTCCTGCGGACCTGACTCCAAAACAAGGCCGTGGCTGAGGTGCAGGTTTTATGTTTGGTGAGATGGATCACCCCAAGCATCCCTGGATGTGTTGTGCAGCCTCTTTTTTATCCCTGAGACCCGAACTTTTCATGCTGATTGTGTTTTTCTCCCTGCTGGAATGTGGATATTGTTTGTTGACACGGATTTCTGATGTGGTGAGTTGTTAGTGTTGGCTTGTAACCATAGGAGTGTTCGTGGATCGACTTCTTGTTTTTCTCACTTGTGCAAACATTTTTTTGGTGGGGGGGGGGGGGAACAACAGTACAAAATGTTTGTTTTCAAAATAAACGGGATTATTGGTAAATTTTCCTCCTTCACCTCCCCGAGTGACAGGGACACGATGTCGTAGAAATTCAACTTGTGTTTGTGGTTTGATTTCACTGAAGGAGGTTGGGATTGTTCAGGCAGCAGCTGCATCGTTCCCAGTGCCACAGAAATTTACAGTTAGGAAATACAAACTGCGCTGAGGCATCCTGAACACACGGGGATGTTTTGGTCTTTGACCAGGAAACAGACAAACCCTCACAAACCCCAGAGTGGATTTTCTTCTTAATCTGAAAATTGGGGTGAAATTTGTTTGTTATTCCTGGAAATGATGGAAGATGAAGGGCTGCAAGGATCAAGACCTGGAAATTCTGTCTCTGTTATTTAATCAACAGCATTTGGGTGACAATCCATTGCCTTGAGACAGCTCAGAGTGACTCTGGCGTGGGACTCCTGAGCTTTGTTTGCGTTTATTTTTTTTGTCTTTTTCCATTTGTGTTTGTGCCTCTCTGAACCTGAAATATTTGGGAAAATCAGAAGAAAATTCAGCTGAATTTTGGCTGTTTTAATGAGTTTAATAGTAAATATGGACCTTGTTTTCATCATCTCAAATACAAACTGACTTTTTGTAGGGTTGTGGAGTATCTTGAGCTAGGAGGGATTACCCAGCCCAGACACCCCAAAATCCCACCCTGTGCATCCCTGGGAGCGTTGTCCAAACCCTCCTGGAGCTCCTGGGGCTGGGACCATCCCCTGGTGAGCACCCCAGAACCCTCTGGGGGAAGAACCAAAATCCCCAAATCCATCCCAGGTCCCCTGGCCCTGCTGCATCCTTTCCTTGCTCTGGGGGAAGAACCAAAATCCCCAAATCCATCCCAAGCCCCTGGCCCTGCTGCATCCTTTTCTTCCTCTGGGGGAAGAACCAAAATCCCCAAATCCATCCCAAGCCCCTGGCCCTGCTGCATCCTTTTCTTCCTCTGGGGGAAGAACCAAAATCCCCAAATCCATCCCAGGTCCCCTGGCCCTGCTGCATCCTTTTCTTCCTCTGGGGGAAGAACCAAAATCCCCAAATCCATCCCAAGCCTCTGGCCCTGCTGCATCCTTTTCTTCCTCTGGGGGAAGAACCAAAATGCCCAAATCCATCCCAGGTCCCCTGGCCCTGCTGCATCCTTTTCTTGCTCTGGGGGAAGAACCAAAATCCCCAAATCCATCCCAAGCCCCTGGCCCTGCTGCATCCTTTTAATTGTTGCAAACAGGCAATTCCAGCTGCCCTTGCCACAAACCATGACAGAGCTGTGGCTCTCTAATTTCTTCTCCCTTCTGTGCCTGAAAAATCTCCTCCAGAGCAGCTCTTGCCTGGATGTTCTGGAAGTGGAGCTGCAGGGACATTTTGGGTCCTTCCCAACTGTGCCAAGCTGGGATTTGGTTTGGTCCCTTCAGGGCAGTCCCAAAATCCCTGAATTTTTGCGCTGTGAAATGTGAAAAGCGCTGCTTGTGTTAGGAAAACAAATGTTTTCCTGCAGGATTGGAGGGAACCGACTCCTTGCAATTCTGCACATGCTGTTGTAATTAAGGCCCAGCCTTTCCTGGATCCTGAAATAATGGAATAAATCATGTGCTCACAAAAAGTGCATGTGCTGAGTGCTTTCCAAGTGGGGTGGGATGGAGCTGGGTCCTGCATGTGCCATGGGATTAAAGCCCTGTGTTCTTTGCTCCTTGGAAGGTGTGGGAGGGTGACATTCCCTTCCGAGCTTTGTTTACAGTTTAATTTAGAAATTATTTATTGCATTTTCAATTAAATTTAATTCTTTTCATTTACTGCTCTGCCACTTTCCCCTGTGCCACTTCCTTCCCTGACCCACCAAGGGATGGCCCTGCCTTTTCTCTGCTCTCCTGCTGCCTCCATCTGCAGGCATGATGCTGATTTTAAGATGCAGGATGTCCAACTGTGCCCTGGCATTGACCCCCAAGCCTTGGAAGTGCTTTTGGAGCTTCTGGTTTTATTTTGGTTGGTGGGAAAGCAAGCAGAATATCTCTGAGTTGTTTAAAAGGTGGATATTTGGTGATATTAGTTGTTAATATTGAAGATTTTGTAATTTTTTTGGATTTATTTCTCCTGTGAGTGCAGGTGGATCAGCCCCCTGATGCAGGTGCATTTTTTAGTTGTTTAGAGATGGATATTTGGTGATATTAGCTGTTAATATTGAAGATTTTGTAATTTTTTTTTATTTATTTCTCCTGTGGATGCAGGTGGCTCAGCTCCCTGATGCAGGTGCAGTTTTGAGTTGTTTAGAGATGAATATTTTGTGATATTAGCTTGTTATAATTGAAGATTTTGTAATTTTTTTTAATTTATTTCTCCTGTGGATGCAGGTGGATCAGCCCCCTGATGCAGGTGCATTTTTGAGTTGTTTAACAGATGGATATTTTGTGATATTGTCATAATTGAAGATATCATAATTTTTTGTTTTGAGGATCAGCCTCATTGCTGTGACAGCATCCACCAGCAGTGAAATTGAGGAGAGGTGATGTTTGAGGGCTGTTTTTACAGACAGGGAGCTGTGTCATCAGCTGATTTAATTAATTCCAGCCACTGATTCTTTCCTCAGGGCAAAGCTCAGAGGTCATTTCCCATCACTGACTCTGCTGATTCTCAGGTTACAGCCCCACACGTCCTTGCAGGGACACAGAAATCTGTTAATTCTTTGATGATTTAAAAAATGACAGCTAATGAAGGCATCTAAAAATAAAACTGCAGCTTGTGGTGCCTGGGCTCTCCTGGCTGAAGTGGTGACAGCTGTGTGGGATCCAAATGATTCATCAGGGATCTGGGGACACATCTTGCAAGAGGAATTCCTCTCTGTCTGCTC